TCACGCTGCAAGTGTGGCTGCGAGCCGAGGGTGGCCAGAAGTCTCCAGCGGTGATCACAGGTAAGACGAAAGGGGTCTCCTGTCCGGCGGACCACCCTGCTGGTCCCTAAAGGCCCCTGCGGGACGCTCACGGATGTCTGGGGTCCGGATAGCGGGTGGGTCTGCGGAAGGCGCCCTGGAGTAGGGCAGGGACTGCGGAGGCGAGACTCGCTTTAACCCATCTGCGGAATGGGCGCGCTGAAAAGGGATGTTGCCCGTCCTCCGGGGAGTTGTACTGGGGAGCTCCGCGCCTGTCCAAGACCACGAGCTGGGGATAGCTGATCCCCCCCCGGAAACCAGAACACTTAGGGGGTGCTGGGAATGTGCAGACGGACTCTGTCTGAGTGTGGGGGAGAAGGGTACAGGACGCTGATGGGTTGCGTGTGAAAGAACTGTGGGGAACCGTTCATTTCTCTTTACTTTTCGATAGAGGTAATTCTTCAGAAGTCTGGCTACCCTCAAAGTAGGCATGGGCCAGGTAGTTTTGATTGCCAGACTTAGAAGTCCTAGAAGTACCCTAAAGTTGTTCTCTGTCCGAAGCTTGCCTCTGGGATCTACCCCCGCCACCATAGCCACCCACACTGCCTCTCTGGGTCCTTGCTTTTAAAGACGGTTGCCTGTCATTCACGGCTGGGTCAGACCTTGGTAGCGCACACTCTGCCAGCCTTCCCCAGACTCGGCTGCGAAATGGGACGCTTTTCTCTTTGGGGACTTTTATGAGTCCATAGTAGATTTGAGTTCTCCCTCCTCACCCTCCCTCGCTCCCCTTCGCTGCTTCACAGCAAAGCTCATAGTGAAACCGGACACTTTGCGAGGGCTGCAAACCTTCCAAACGCCTCAACATCCATTTTGCTCCTAAATGAATCTGTGGAAATGCCTTTAATAAAACGAGGGGTGGTGGAGGGGGGCGGCGCAGGAGGAGAAAAGGAAAGTTTTGCCTTTTCTGTCTGGGAGATTCCCTCACTGCATAAACAACCTTGCCCTGTCCTGGGACTCCTTAAAGCTATAATAGGGGTTCCCCCTTCGCTGCAGTCTGGGAGCCAGGAGAGGCTGTTGCGATCCCACCCCTCTCGGAGAGTTTGCTGCTGATTTTGCCTTAGCATAAACCTTTCTTAACACTGCACTGACTCTCCTATTTACCTGAAGTCCCCTTCGGGAGACCCAAACTCTGCTACCATGCCAATCAAATATATCCTCAAAGCTCCCACTTTCCAGTTACCAAAGAAGAGCAAGAATGACTACATACACACACACACACACACACACACACACACACACACACACACAACTGACGTCATCGCTAGCCACCACCCTCTCCCTCCGAAAAGGAGAGGGAAACGGAGCTCATTCACTTTCGGCTCCCATATCCTTGTCGGCCAGAGGAGGGTACAACATGTAACGGGGGAGATAAGATACAAAATAATCATGAAGATGATGATAATTCCTCTCTCTCTCTCTCTCTCTCTCTCTCTCTCTCTCTCTCTCTCTCTCTGTGTGTGTGTGTGTGTGTGTGTGTGTGTGTTTTCACTTTCAAAACAGCGGTTTGTTGGTTAAAAGTGGTTAAGAGATGAGTAGGTCTGGCTTTGCTGTGTTGGTGATTCGGAAGGGATCCCCGGAGAGAGGAAAGCCCAGGGTTGTAGAGATGGTGTGTTCATTTAATATATGCATAATGCAAATCTATGTTTCACGGAATTGCAGGAGAGACTGGCTTCTAAGTGTCTAACTCAGACCAAGGTCTCTCTTCCTGTTCCCTGGAACACGTAATCCGCTCTCACAACAATTGTTGCAGTAAAATACTTTCATTGGCTCAGGGATGCTAGGTTATTATTGCTCGTATAAAATGCCTGGTTCGTTTTATGCGTGGAAACAACATTCCTCACAAAACGGAAGAGAAAAAAACAAAACAGTAAGTAAATAAATTAATAAATAAACGGCACGACTGCCATGTAGCCCCAGAAAGCCTAGGAGCTGTTCTCCGGAGAATTCTGGTGGATTCCCCCTCCCCTCCCCTAGTTGAATCTGAGCCAGATTTGGCAGTGTGTAAACACCTGGCAGCGAGCCAGAAAAGACTTATTCTGCCTTATCCTCCACACAGAGCATACTGCGGGTCTAAAGAGAGCCTGCTTCTCCTTGAATTAAAAAAGCAAACAAATAGAGAGGATTTTTATTCCAGAAGTACTTTTAAAATTCCCTGATCAGTGGTTAAATTGGGGCTGGAAGAGACAGGACTCTGAAGTGGGTGACATGAGCATCCTCAGGCTGTCTTAGGTGACCTCAGGTGCACGGTTGGCTGCCTGACCTCTGCTAGCTTTCGCTGCTGTCTGGGCGTCACCACTTTCACAGGAATCCCTGGTCACCTATCTCCAGAGCAGTCATCGCTCAGCAGGGTTTGCAACTGCTATTTCAGGCCCAGGGCTGCTGCCTCTCTCAGGCCAGTCTGCCTTACATCACTAGACTGCACGATTCAATTGGGTTTCTTAAAGGTCTAATTTTACGGTGCTGTTAACCAAGTCTGTCTGCCAGGCAGGCCTTACAGCTCTTGGTAGGCGGGAGTGCTCCTAGATCTGCTTGCCCCTGGTACTATTTCTGCCTGGGTTCAAACTTCACTTCACGGACACTGATTCAGACAGTCACTGAGAGGCAAGGGGAAGAAGCAGGGTTCTGAAGCACAGAAAACAAGTCTTTTATTTTTCTGAAAGACAAGGTGAATACACACACACACACACACACACCGAACAGTAGCTCGTGCAGGTAAATTCGAAGCCACAGTTAGAAAATGTTGGAGTTCAGGATTCTCCTTGGACTTGCCACAGCTGAAGGGTATTTTTGAGAACTAAAGGCTCCTTTAAGGGTACTATGAGCTGGGTCCCTAGAGGGTATTTATCAGTAGTCATTCAGGCCAATGGGAAGAGATCTGCAGAGGACTAAAGGATGTGCTGAATGACAGTGCTCAGGGGCAAGAGCTAGAACTTAACCTCTGGCACTCCTATTTCCAGATTTCACCCACTACCTGGCAAAGAGAAGTCTCATAAACAGGCTCCTCTTATCCCACACAGGCCCACCATCCAGGTAGGGTGTGGTGTGTGTGTGTGTGTGTGTGTGTGTTCTGACACATCTCTGCTTTTGTACTACAACAGACAGATCCAGACCCAAGCCTCTTATCCCCAGCCAACCCCAGCCATACCCCACTGCCTCTAGAATATAAAAGAAACAAAAGCAACAGACTGATTTTCTCAAATCAGAGTTCTCAGTGGCAATTACCTTATTGAAGTTTCTCCTGACCTGAAAAGTGTCTCCTACAAACACTGCCCTCCTCCTACCCTATGCTCAATCCCCTCCATCAGTGACCCAGAGTTCCAGCTCAGAAGGAGATGGGCTTTAAACCGTAGTCCTACCTAGCACTTCTGCTGGCAGGTCCTTTTTCTTTTGTTGTGAGTGTTGAAATAAAGTTTGCTGGTTGCTCCCAAGAACCCCTTTCTTCCTTCCTTCTGTAGGTCATTTCTTACACCTCACTCAGCCCTTCGAAAAGTCAGAAGCTTCAACTGAAGTTCACAAGTATAGCTTTCCCTATAACCTGCTGTATCTCCAGCTGGGATGCAGAATACTGCACTGGTCACAATGAAGTGTCAGTACTCAGGTTACCTCTGTCCTTATCCAACTGTGACCTTGTGCAAGCTAGGTGGCTCCTCCTGGCTCCAACTTCCTCATCTGCCAAGAAGAGTTGTTAGGAGCATTTGTGTTACACAGTAACACAGCCTCTTGCTGTGTAACCTTCCCTCTTCTTTTACCTATTTATCTCTCAGTTATCTACCTTGTGAAATGGGCACAGTGATTTCAGGATAGTTCAGTGGTATACAGTTGCCCTAAGTGCTATCAAAAAGAGTCCATTCCTACTTGAGACTAAATGGAGGGTAACCACATCTAGTGAACATACAAGTTGCCATTTTCCGGGTTTTTTTTTTTTTTGGAGTGGGGGGCATAGCTGGGTCTCTTGGACAAGCTAGCTTGTGTACACTTAGAATATCTTCCCCTGAATTTCTAGGGATGTCTGGAGTGAAGATGGCATATTTGGGAACCATTAGACTTTAATTTCTTCTTTGACTTTGCTCTTTTCTTTGACCTTTGGGTGACCCCTAGCTAGTAAGAGTCACAGGAAGTCTAGGGCAGGGATGCTGGAAACTATGAGTTGCTCAGCCCGTTGGCTTGGAAAGGAAGCATAGACCCCCTGGAACAGAGGGTGAATGGTGATCATAAGTCACAGGTCACATGTCACTTGCTCCTTCCATGGATTCCCTTTATGTCACTTGCTCCTTCCATGGATTCCCTTTCATCCTTCACCGTCCTTTATGCTACTGTCCAATGGACAAGTAGACATGATTTCGGATGTTAATCCTCAGACACACCTTTGTCCTCCCTCTTCACAGAGAAAAGTAATCTGGAAACCCAAGACCTGGAATACTCAGAAGTGTGGATCAGAAATAGTTAGCCCAGGCTTAGACTTGGCAGTAAATTGTAACAAGCAATTAAATGTATATAAAGGAAAGAAAGGACCAGGGTCACACAGAACACTGCACTCACAGATCTTTATGGCTTAGAGGGGCCTGTGAGACATTTCAATCCCTTAGCTACCATTCCGGGATACACAAGGAATACTCACCTTTTAAAACATCCTTTGGGCTGGGCATGATGGTACATGTGTATGATTCAAACACTAGGACCTCCATAGTAGGATCAGCACAACTTTAGGGCTAACCTAGTCTACATAGAAAAGTTTCAGACCTACCAGAGCTTCATAATATGACTTTATCAGTCAGTCATTAAGTAACTCAGCTGAGGATCCACAAAGGGGTCTCTGCTACATTAGGCCTGGTTAGCCTAGGCACAGATACTTCTCTAAGCCTTCTTAAATAATACTGAAGGACCAACAATGGGAGAATCTCAGATCTAATTTCATGTCCTCTTACTGTACAGGTGGGTAAAATGAAGTAGTAAATGGAAAGGACACTCTGTCTTTCTAGGTT